GCACAGCGGCAACACTGGAGTTGGGTATCACTAGTCGATGATGGCAACTGCGCCAGAACAAGCCTTTCTAGTGTCCCATGTCTTTGCTGGTAATGTCCTTCTGCCTATATCCTAGCCGCGTCGTCGGTTGCGATCTGGAATATGAAAGAATTGGGATGCTCGTCTGCTCTATCTCATTAGGGAATATACTTGTCCCGTTGTACCGTGACTTTCGTTCTTGAGGGATCATAGGTATCATATGTCCGAAGTCGCGAAGCAACTGCCTGCGATCACTCAAGAACCAGCCTCAATGCACAACGTGACAAGTATATTCCCTAATCAGATAGATCGGATGAATATCTCAGTTCCATATATACCTATTCACACGTGCCGCAACACTTTGCTTTGGGTATGGCTGGTTGGTGACGGCTAATAAGACAGAAATGGCGATTAAAGCCACCCTTGTCGCTATTGGTAATATAAATTTGCCTATATCATTAGACACGGTGCGGCCGCTGGCGGGGCTCAACTGTGATTCCCAAGACACGACAGGACGACTGAGTTCCGTAGACGATTGGTGAGCGACTGTCTACCCGATCGCAACCTGAAAGGCAGCGAGCCCGTGGTGCAGTGGTTAGGGCATTGGACTTCTAGTTAACAAGGTCACGGGTTTGAACCTCGGGTAGGGCACCACTTGGGGTTAGGTATGAATGGCTGATGACAAAAAGTAAGCCAAAAATGGATATTCCAGCTTCCGAGTTCTTTGTCAGTTATGGCATTCTGCATACATATATGATAATATGGGGCTCACAGATCTGCTTACGGGAAATTTATATCCTCTTGTGTCTTGGGGTCTACTTTAGAATCCTCGAAATACTGGAATGACGACCATTGCTGGCTTAGCAGACTTCATCAGCCAGCTATACTCAACTACAGGTCTTATAACAAACGCGGATCAAACCCGCGAACTCGTTGTCCTATCTGTTACGATCAGAAATATTAACAACGGTAGTTAGGCGCTCATCGTTCGCATCATAGAACACAGACATCACACACCGTGTCCCGGAGTCCACTCTGGAATGCCGCCCGCGATTGCACAGGGGCAAGTGATACAGGCAGAATAGTATTACTGACAAAGAAAAGGAATGCCAGAAGGCCCATTTCTGGTTTATTTGTTATTATCAGACAGCCATACCCAAAACCTAGGAATTGAAACACACGGTATATAGTTCTAATAGCCAGATGGAGTTCACTGATCACGTGAAGCAAATGTGCTCATTCCGTTTTGGCTTTGAACTGAATCTGAAGCCATCGCAGGCAGCCGCATAGGGACCAGAAGGAAGACGTGCCTGAATAGACAAAGGAAACTGGAATGACCAGTTCTAGCTATTAATAGCCAACCAGACTCAATCTTAGGTCTGAATGACTTGGAAATTGAACACGAATTCTCTGACTATTGAGTACTTAGTAGTCGTCTTGTCTGTTCGGTACCGGGCTATGAAGTACGATGAGAGGACGTACACCCATGAGATTATTCTCTTAGTGGTGGCTTTCTGAGTTGCATAAGCATCGTTGTGTATATTAGGTCAATAGGCACTCAAAAGTGAATTTTAAAAATTTTAGCAAATTGTCAGAAATCACCTTGCAGCCCTCGCAGGTAAGAGCCCCAAAATGAAATCCCGAAGATCGGCCACCGCAAACTCGACAAGGAATGTGTGAAATGTCGATGTCAGTCTGACCTTCGAACTCTGAAAAGAAAATGGAGGAGAACATCTATGACACACAAGAAAACGTCTTAAAAACATCTACCCAAGGGGAGGTGGGTATAATGACCAATAAGTAGATTGTGGTGAAGAAGCAATACTCAGAATACGATGCTGTGCACTAAGCAATTGTCGAAATTAGGCCTAAAGCCACGGCTCGAAGTGCATCCGTTTCCAACAGGTGCTAGTCTAGCTTCCTGTGACAACGCCAACTACTCTGGACACAGTATCGTGATACCGGCGCATATGACTCAAGGTCAGAGGCTGTTTCAACGTCACTTCCCTCCGTTTCCTTCAGCTAATA